ACCTGACCGGGCAGGTCGATCCCCGTTTGTGCGCCCCGAAGCGGCGAAGTGGCAAACAATTTTGCCTAAACGGATTGAGTCGAGCTTTTGAGTATTTGGCCGAATTCGATACGAACTTTAATCGATTTTCAATTCTCAATTTATTTAACCAATATCCAACAAAACAAACTGGAGTGTGTTCTGTGCCAATTAGTTCGCATCTACTGAAAGCCAAAGTTATTAGAACTGGGTTCTGGGGGCTCATGGGAAATGGCATTGGTAGGACTGATGTAAATTATCCACAGAGTTTGTGGAAATGCAAAACTATTCGATGTACTTTTAGTTCATCGTCGAATGGAAATGGCAGCATGGCCGGGGAACTCTAATGAGAATGAGTCTGATTATGTAAATTCGAGTGTGGTTGAAGCTGGTGAGTTGATTTCTTAAACACTCGTTTCTTCTGGTTCACTGTCTGTGAGTGCATACTATCGTGTAACTGATAATTAGAAAAACCTATCATTTTGCAATATATCTTGCCAAGATATGCATGGTTGGTGGAGTTGCACTAACAAACTTTTGCTGTCAAATATTTTTATTCAACATTTAGATTTTATAAAATTGGTAAAGCATGATTTTCCCATTCCTACGGGCATCAGTAAGAAACGCTTTCAATTTTGTAGAGTTCTTGTAAAAAAGAGTGCAACCTATCTTTAATGGTTTTGGACATGACATATTTTGTTATAGAGGAACTCATTTATTTAACTTTAGTAACGTACAAGTCGAATTTATTTTTGATGAGAGGCCGGACATGTACACAATTTTGATAATTGGGTATGTGTAAAACTTGAACTACCCCTGCGTGCCCTGTTATTATGTTGAATCACATTATCTCAAAGTTTAAATTGTTAAAGTGCAGGCATATTTATTTGTTTAAATTTAGTATTTTAATTTAATCTCCGAAGTTGGTTCTTCTTTAGAAGACTTCGAAATTGCTTGCGTTTTATGGAATTTATGCAACAACATGCTTTGTTTGCACGAGACAGCTCTAGTAAATTATTATGGATCCCTTACTCTTGCTACATAATTTCTGTTGCTCATGGTACTACTTTTAGGAAATTGTATGTCTATTACATGATGCTTTTTAATCTTATTGGAGAATGTCGCAACTGACTGCTTTTGTATAAATAGTAGACAATAATCCTCATGTTTCTACACATAAAGCCATATGCGGAGAAAATTCCAATTGATATTTAGTTCTGTGTTAAAGTTTTGAACAGTTGAGGTCAAAAGTGCCCCGCATGGTTTCATGATCAAGATGAGAGATGGCTGGCATTTGAGGTGTGCCCCTAATAACCCTCAGGGAAGTCATCGGCCAGTTTATGCTCCGCACCCTGCAATTGTATTGAAGATGGAAGATGGGACTGGGATTCTTCTTCTCCCAATAATTGTTTGTATATCATCTTTAATATTATGATTAATTTCTGTATGCAACCTTTTTTAATGAGTACAAGTTGATATTGCCTCTTATCATTGCTTCATTCTTGATTCAATTGATTTTTCACAACGGAGATGCCCAGTGTGCTGCCAATGGCAGCTGTACGCAATTTCCAAATTGTATGCTTTAACCATTTGATTGAAGTGTTTGTATAAGTTACTTCTTTTCTTACTTCTAAGTTAAAAAACTTGCTTATTTAAAAAGCAACTCTTACCTTATTGTAAAAATAAATAATTTACTTATTTTAAATTCTGTTCCATAAAACATTACTTTTCTAATAAGTAAACTTATTATAGTCATACTTTTAAAGCTTAGCCAAACATGCTCGAAATTACCTGTGTATTTCTTAAAAGATAATTTCTGGATTACTTTTTAGGCTAGGCCTACCATGTATCAAGTTGCAAAGGAAATGATTGAGAAGATGGGCTATACAGTGAGTTCATTTATTTCTTCAATGGTCACATAGTTCTTCTTTGCTTGCTTACTGGATAGTCAACTGTTTTTTTTCATTTATTAGCTGTCTTCTTTTTCAGGTGAAACTTGTACGAATCACCCAAAGAATACACGAGCAAAATGAGTTACATCTTACAAAGTTAAACTAAATTTAATTGGTTCCAGGTTTGAATCACATGTAAAAATTTCTAACTTCTGTGACAATTAATTTTTTGATCATCTTGGTTGAAGTTGGATAATGAAGCAGAGTGTGTCAGGTTTGATCTGCGGCCCTCTGATGCAATTAACATTGCGGTGAGATGCAAGTTAATTCTTTGTAACTGTTGGGCACTTCTCATTGAACTACCTCGTCAAAAAACTTAAACTGACTATTAGGGAGGATTCGAATTTCTTTACTTAAATCTGTCTTCAACATTTGCCTCACTTACAGGCCAGATTCCTTTTTTATTAAAGGCCTGTCAAGTGCACAATTTTCATATTGGATGGCAGTGAGCCTTTGATCCGGATCTTTGTTGCCTCTGATAATATTTGAAAGTTATCGAACAGCTTAAGCTCGTAAAGAGAAGGCAGATTATTTAAATTTGTCTTCAGTAGTTGTTATTTTCCTTTTCCTTTCATTTTTTATGCATTTGGGGTTTTAAAAATGTTGTTTTTGTCGCCATTACAAATGTTAAAACAAATTAAATAATGGTGTTTTGGAATAAAGATTCACCGGAAAAAATTAGTGCAGCTGTTAAAAACTGTTGAAACTTCACGTTCGAACCAGAGCTTACCATTTTGAGGATTTATCACAAAAAGTGTACTATTGTACATTTATGGTTGTAGTTTCATTATTTCAAGTATGTATGGACACCAATAGGGGTTTCATCCTGCGTTTTCTATGTAATTAAATACAATCGTATGGTGTTCATTTGGGATTTTTGTTATGTAATTCTGTCAGGTACAATGTGTTTTTGTTTAGATGGGTGTGGTTAGAAAGTCTGAAATTTGTGAGTAGGATACAAGTTTTCCCTTTGTCGTCTCTATGTCTATTTGTACAATCTTCATAAGTTCATTTATGATGATTTCAAATGTATGTAATGGCCTTTTTTCACTTCCTCAAGGACTTAGCCCTGACAACTTTAAAACACGCCCATCTAGATTGTACCGATTACTATGAGTCAGATAGAATATAGCATCTTGATTTTGCCTTTTCAATATGATTTCCCGAATCAGTGATATTTTATACCGTTTATAATCTTATAGGTGCCAATCCAAGTGAATAAATGCTTGGTGTATACAGACGGTAGGAGGGTTATTGGAACCGAAAAGATGTCACTGCATAGCTCCTCATCAGATGGCTTATTTCCAGAGTTGGACAGGTACACTTGATATCCGCAAGGACCTCTTCTTCTTCCTCCTATTTTTTTTTTCCTGCGGTATCTCGGCTACGCTTATGATGTTTTTGTTGCAAAAGATGCATTTCTCTGGTCTTTAAATACAAAGTTTGGTTAGTCTGAAAGAACTAGTACTCTATGGTCATATTGTCATTTGAGAGAGTGCATCGATGAATTTGTCATCGCTAATCAACACCTAAAGGGGGAAAACATTTGGAAAATCTTTAATATGTAAGTTTTGTTTATGTTATGGATTAATGACTTAATCCCTAATTTTGAGAGCGTAAAGAAACAAGAAATGGAAAAACGCAACAGAGATTTGTAGTAGTTGACCTCACATGTGAAAGATGTCCACTTGCTACACTAAAGTTGGAAGTAGATTACAAGAATTGTCTGCGGAATTTATTCAAACAATTTAGTTTATACAAACATATCCGCTAGCTTAATCGCAAAAATGATTATTAGAGTCCACATATATATTATAAACGGGATGCTTGTAACTGACGGATCTGACATCTTTATCTAATTTATACCTTGTGCCTTAGATAATATAGGTAAGGTCTAACTACCTTGTTATTGATACAGACCTAGTGGCCTACGGTCCATTGAAACGAAGGAGTTAATCTTGTGTGCAAAATGCTAATAGCTGCAGATGAGGAACGTTACAAGGACGTAGGTATTCTTTCTAATTATATGTTCAGGACATCATTTTACAAGTCAGTTACTGTTATTCTTCAAACATATTTGTATTTGAAGACACCATGCTTGCTATTACACTTAAAAATTGTTACAAGGTAGCACTTAAAAAAAATTAAATAGCTATTACACTTGTGTAAGCGTTGGATATAGAATGGGGCAGCGTAAGAGGGGGCAAGCCAAACTACACTATGGGTACTCATCTATGGAATGTGTGGATCATGAGTGTATAGTAAGTTGTGGATCCTACGAAATTTTTGGATAAAACATATATTTGACCGACTTAAATATAATTTAAGCTTTGCTAAAAATGCTCTACACAAGAGTTAAAAATACTTCTCAGTGATTGTGAATTTAACCTTCTGAGGTTGTACTGCAGCTCTGTGGAGGGACATGCTCTCTCAACTTCGCTTAAAGAGGAACTTGACATAGGTCATGATAATGTCATCTCTCTTTGGTATGCAATACTAAATGTGACTAGATAACAGTATAATGAATAAGATTTTAATTTCACTTTCTTCCTTAAAGTCATGTTTGGGGTGCTGTATTAGACCATAAAATGAATTTGGTATAAAATTATAGTAAATATTACTAGGTAGAGTGGTATTATAGTAGATTAAGGTGTGGATAATATTATTTGATGTTTCATATAAAAGAAGGTTATTTGCTATATGTTTCCTGTCCGGCTTAAACCCAATTCCATCATCGGTGTTATGTTACATGGTTGATAGTGCAGTTATGAATGAAAATTTTTAAAAAATATATCCACCATAGTACACTTCATACTTCTACCTACTAGTATCAATTATAATTTTATACTAAATTCCTTATATGGCCTAATCCGGTGCACCAAATACAGCGTGATGGTATTTAGTCCTATCAAACCTCCCGACCAAATAATTCCTCTAGTTCCGATCCGATGAGAATAGTGAAACACTTCTTTTGTTTGGGTTTCAGGTACTACAGGAGGATAACTTGTATATAAACTGCATGTTTGGTATACAAGACTCGACGACACCATTAACGAAGAAAAAAGTTGAAATCTTGTGGTTGTCTTCTGCAGTACATTGTACCGAACATGGCTAGAAATCATTTCTCTGACTTTTACAGTAAATATTAGTCTCTTTCCTTCATATTTATGTATAGTGCTCGTTGATATGTGTATATAATACGTATTGTAGTGTAATGTTGAAATGTTTAAAACTATGTGTTATGTTTTCCTGTGTATCTTGTTCTCAATTTTGCTGCCGGGCTTGTTGTAGCAAATGATTCGCAAGAAAGAAACGAAAGAAAAACGCCCAAAAATAAAAAAAATACTCTGAAATCAACTTAATATTATTAACAATACAGAATGATCAAAATTAACCCACAAATCAGGTTAAATAGATGCAAAATACGAAATTATAGGAAAATTACCAAAAATGGTAAAATTTTGAAATTACACCAGAATAAAATATTAAGTAAAAGAAGTAGATTGCCAAAAATTTGGCTCAATACGAGTTTTCTAACATGTGAAAAAAAGGAAACGAAATATTACAATAAATAGCAAAAAATAACTAAAATTGAATTTTGGAAAGGAAAATATCGGATTTCAGGCTCGAAATTGATGCCCACCGAGCATAGCTAGTGGCCACGACGTGCACGCCGAAGAGAGCTTTCCAGATTGGGGTCATAATAGCGATTCTGATAACCGTAGTCAAAGTTATGACCAAATTACCAAAAACGTGTCAAATTCCCCCCAATTAAGGAAATAAATGCGATTCACTTCTCATCTTTGCGTCGATCCGCCATCTCATGGTAATTCAGTGCCATCATCATGTTATTTGACAAATCAGTATCACTCGACTCGGATCCTCCTGCATCAAATTTGATCATAGTATTATGTTTAACTCTACATGAGCTTTGTTTCAATGTATTGTTAGTGTGGATGATTGGAAAGTTAGAAAAATGATATAATGCATTCAAACTAGTTGTTTGTCATGGGTAGAACTTGTATCCTCGATCAATTTTGTCCGATTAGTTAAGATGGTCGATAGTCATATTTGACTAGACTCGGTATTTTCAAGAAAAAATAATGTTGTAACATGAAAGATAATTTTGAAAAAAAAAAAAATTAAAATTGAAAATTTTGAATCTGGTAAATGCATTAAACAGGCTTAAGTTAATTAGACATTTGAATTTTACTTTCTAGAGCATGCTTGGGTAAGCTAAAACTTCACTTTCAAGTAAATATTGATTTTCATACGGAGAAATCGCATTATTAGTCTTCAACTTTGAGTAAGTTATACTTATACCTAACCTTTTTTTTTTTTATTTCATCTTTGTCTCCAACTTTTGAGAAATTAAGAAACTTAACCTTTAACTTAAATAAACTAAAGGAAAATAGGTCATTAAGCATAAAGTAACAGTTTTCGTTCACAATTATTTTTTCTTAACGTCTCAAAATTGAAATTACGTCGCCACATTGCTTTTTGCTTAATCTATTAATTTTATAAATTAATAAAAGTATAATTCATAAGCTATTCTAAGTATATTCCCAAATCAGATCTTGTTGGAACACCTTGCATGTTACATCATATAATTTTACTAATAATTTTATCCGAACATTCGTGCTTGTACTATAATTCTGTAGTACAGTGAGTAATATGAATTTGTGCGTATTAGAGAATTTTATTACTTTTCAATTATTTTATCCATTCTTGATTATAATTGTTAAGGGATATAACCTCACGTCGAATAAAGATGAAAATATAGACCAATTTATAAAATTTTGAACTACTAAATTGAACCCCGAGTCTTAACGATAATTAATTAATTATGCAGGAAAGTGCATGCCGTAGAAGAAACAAATCTAGGGATTCCGTATTCCGTGGCATATTCCCGCCAAATTTGCACCCTAAGAATCACACTCTGCTGCCACGTCGCTAACATGCATGTGGGACCCACCGCCACCAGCTCCATAATAACCGCCTTTAGAAAATCTCGCAAATATGTTATCGGCTTTTTTGAATTTTTGCTCCTTCACATATCGTTGGTGTGAGTAGATTTTGTTTTCTATGCAGTGCAATGTCAAAAACTTTAGATCGTATTGCAAGCCCTGGTAAGTATTCATTTGTTGTGTGTGTGTGTGCGTATTTATATTTTTTAGTGATGTAATTTAAGTGGGTTAATTGTTTATTGAAAGTATATATCGTTGATTTTAGGTTTTGATTTGAGTTTTCTATCTTTTAGTTTTGAATGCTGTGATTTTTTTGAGTTGCAGTAATAGAGGAAGGGCATGTTTCGCTAGCCTTAAATTTAAATATTTTTAGATTTAAAGATGTTGAAAGTTACTTTTTCTTTTTCATTTGTAAGTGAAAACTGTTACTTTTTCAAAGTTATCCAGACTTTACTGTCAAATTAAATAATCTTGCTTTCGCCAATAAAATGATTTTTGTTTTTTAATACTAACATTTTTACTTATAAATCTACTTAAATCTGAACTTTTTAAGCTTTCCGTGCTTCATTTTTAATAAATTCTATGTTGTACAATGAAGTTGGCTGCCTTTTGGTTTTATGACCAGTAGTTTTTGTAATTTGGAGATATTGTGTGGGAAGAACAATTCAGCCTTATCATTTCAGAGTATTTTAAGTGCATATTTAAAATGCAATATTAGATAGTAGTGAACAAGATTGTTTAACTTGTTTCTCTTCTTTAATTACGTCGACTACTTTCCAATACTACTTAAGAGACAAGTCATAATTGAATATGTTTATGGAACATCCATGATTGGGAAGAATATTGTACATCAATGTTTCAAATTTAATTACATTTAAGAAATTGTGACTTGAGTTTGATCTTTAAGTTAGTAATGCTTATTAAGATCATATTTCAGCATCTATCTAAAAATCAATTTGTTTATAGACGAGTTTGTTAAAATCTGATATCAGAGTTACGGTCATGAATTTGAGTCACAAGAACGATACTGAGGAAGGGATTGTTGGGTGCAACAAACCAATCTTAAGTTAATAGGTTGGATCACCAAAATGATGGTGATCGAACGTCGTAAAAGGTTTAACTTGCTCCCCTTACTTGACAGTTGAAACCAATTGATTTTCAGATAAGGAAGTTGAAGACAATACCGATTTTAATTTTCCAATAGTATTGAATTTCTTGGAGATTAAGAGTTGAATGAAGGAAATGACCTTAAATGTGGGGAAAAGGATTGAAAGTGCTTTCTATCCCACATTGATTGGGAGAAGAAAAAGCTTGCTCCTGGCTCCTATTACACAGATCTTCGTTAATCTTTAAAAAATAAATTTAAAAAAAAAGGAAAAACTTTAGTTAATATCATTTTCCACATTTGTCGGAAACCAAAAATTGAACGGGTGGATTTATTTAAACCAACCCCACAATTCGGTAGGTTGTCCACGCACACAAAACATGGTTACCAGTACCACTTGAGGCCCAAACCCTCGATTGCAGTTTGGTGTTCATAAACCCATTCCATTTCTGTATTCCCTATTTCTATTTCCGTATTCCCTATTTCTATTTCCATAAGAAACACTAGAAATCTATTTTCTTCGCTCAATCAACATGGGATAGAAAGCCCTTGCATTCCATTCCCTTACATGAAGGAAATTTGCTTCTTTCAACTCTTCATCTCTGACACAACTAATACAATTAGATAAATTATATAAACACTAAAGAGTGGATATGAGAAAAGATTCTGTTCCAAACCCACAAATGTAGCATTTTTCTCATCAAAGTGAATTATTGGTGGAGTAATAAAGTGGTTCTTTTGTTACAAAAATTGTACATCCATACTCAAAAATGGATACTTTTTACTATGTTCATGTTGACTTTTCAATTATCTACATACCCTTTTTACAGATATATATGAATTTACCTAAAAGGCTTGTAGCTATTATTCTTCTGGGATTTACTTACTAGTTACCTATACATGCTTATGGCTAAAATATTTAGTTTATCTAGTTAGATTTCACTAACTCTGCTCTTTTTCCATTCTAAGTTTGCCCTCATTTAATTTTCGTCATATCAAATATTTTTTGACTTCTAGTCAGTGTTACCGCTTCCAGTCTAGGGTAAAGTGAAATTCCCTCGCAAATTAATTTCATTTCATGGGTTTGGTCTGTGAAATAATAAAGAGGCAAGTTGCTTAATGATGTTCAATGTTTAATATCATCATCCAGTGACATAATTTTGATTTTCACCAGGTTGTGATAATGATGAAA